ACATTTGCTTAAATATATTATATTAAGAATTTAATATATTATGTAGTGAATATAGATAATTCGTTTTTTAAATGAATCATCGTTGAATATTGATAGCTAAGAAGCCAAAAAGTATAAATTAAATTAGATTAATTATATAATTCTATTAAATTAATATTATAAGACTAATATTATCTATTGATTTCTCAATTTAAATTTTAATCAAATTTAGATTTTAGACAAATATAACAAAAAAAAAATTCGTAAATATGCATTTTTAGAAAAATAAGTATTTTTATTTAAATAACAACATATAACATATAGCAGTTATTTTTTCCGAAATGAAACTGTTTGCATTTTTGAACTAGTAATGTTTGATGTAAGTATTAAAATATATTATATAGCTGAAACAGCATACTATCAGCAATTGAATAATAACACACATTCAAAATTTGTTATTTTTATATTATATTGATAAATGTCTTGAATTTATAGGTATTTTATTATGTACCTATCTACTACCTATGTCTAATGGGATATTTTATATTTTCTACATTTTAATTATCATTAAAATTTTAAAATATGGTAAACAATACATTTTAAAATTTAGCATATTTTTCAAATCCTTATATGCGTTTATTTCTTACTAATTATTTTATRTGATTTATTTAACATTTAACTAAGTACCAAGAAGAACATCGACTTACGTGAGCGCAGAGTGCGTCCTCAACACTATGACTAAGTCTCCAAGTTCGGCCGGGTATTCGGTGATCAACCACGGTGGTGATTCGTTTGTGCACACGCCAAATACGCGCACTAAATTTGGATCGAGTAGGCTGCACAGGAACTTGACTTCCCTGGTAGAGTCGGAATTGCAAGTCTTTGCCGCCACGCGACCGTTATCCGTCAAGCGAACGTCTATTGTCGTCTCACATACAGCCACCTCTCCAAGGTGTGAACTACCCAGCTTGCTAACCACGTTCAAACAGTACCGCGGTATCTGTACAATGTCCGCTTCCCTGCATTTGTATACTTGGCCCATGCTGGGACTAATGTTCCATGACACCGAAGGGGGAGCCATCTGAAAATGTCCGTACATTGTATATATGTGATATGTCTATGTAGACTGTAGAGTGTAGAGTATAGATATGTAAGTAGATAACTCAAATCTAAGTAGCTAAAATTCACGAATGGCTAAATCTTAATTTGAATAGAAAGAAAAAATAATATTAAATGGACTATACAATCAGAACACACATTAATGACAATAATAACTACACATACATATTTAATGGTAAAGATAAAACTTTAAATATTAAGCAAAATCATCAAGGAATACATCATCTTGATGGAACAAAATCATATAAAAAACAAAATGTATTTTATAATTGTTCAAATTTTATAGATGGAATATCATTTGTATCGTCTTAGCTCCAACCAAATATTTTTTTTTAGTTTACATACACATATAATAAAGATTCAACAAATATTTTGACGTCAATTTACTCGTATAAAATATAATAATAATATAACGAAACATAATAAGCCGTATTTGTATATTATTTTTTATAAACTCATCGTATTATGGTTAACGATTGTTTTTATAAATATTTAGATAAAAATATGAAAAACCTACCAAACATACTATAAGTATTTGATTTAAACAACAATAACTAACTCAAATGATGAGTAGATACATAATATATAACATATATCACAAACATAATGCTTAAAGGTTTATAATATAGTTGAAAATGTGAATAATTCCGTATTATATGTATGCACTCAATATATTTTACAAATATTTTACAATACCTGCACAAAATTCATCATATTGGTATTATATTATATTTTATATGTAATATTATTACTATATCCACACAACAAGATTATAACTAATATCGAACGCAAATCATTTTACGTGCCTGTGTGTAATATATATAAAACGATAAAATGAATAACCAATGGTAGTGATGGTCGAGATAGTAAACACAGTATTTTCATTCGATTAATTATCATTTACTTACTATATTTTAAG